AGGACTATGGAAAATTAAATGTTGAAAATAACAGTACCCACCTTATGAGATAATGAAAATTGAAGACTTAGAAGAGAACCTCACAGTTATCAAGCCTCCAGTAAATGCTAGATATTATTGCCATCATCATTATCATCACAACTACTACCATCGAGAATCATGGATTTTTTGGAAAGAACAGGCCTGTGTCATTCCATTTTGTTTCCCTGTGTTAAGCACAGTGTCTGGCAAATAGTATGAATATCAGAAATATTTTTATTTTTTATAAACTGTGTTGGCTTGTTTGTTTCCACCAGTGGGAGTCTATAGGGATGGAATTGTGCTGGGGAGCTCTAGCCCTGTGGCTTGGTTGTCAGCAATACTAGAGATGGTGTGAATTGCTTTTGGGTCTACATATACGGCCTACTCTGAGACTCCGGCATGTGCCTTGTTAGCAAGTGGGATTTTTCTGTTGCCCCTTGCTTTTCCCCCAGACTCTGAGTAAATGTTTAACTGATAATGATTCCATTGTTATCATATCCAGGTGCAATGACTTGCCTAAGAGCAGAGATGTCATCTCATCACAAAATAGTTGAATGCTTCCTTCCACACCACCCCTGGGCTACCCTCAGCATTCCCCTGCCATGCCAGTCTACTACAGTGAACTCTCCTGTGTTCAGGTACTCAAAAGCTATGAAACTTTCACAATTCCCTGATAAGTCTGAATACAGACAACTCCTATTATGTCTTGAATATGCTGTAGGAATGAGTTCCTAAGAGAACAATTCTAAGTACTTATTTTCCAAACATTCCAGTTCAGAATCAATAAAGGAAACAAGGGAACCACCAATGAAGAAAGAACTTTTATTCTTTAATCCAATGTACAAGATCCATGAAACTTAAAAACAAAACTTTTTAAGCTTAAAACCTACTAATAATAAATTGTATTTAAATTTAAGGTGCCACTAAAACTATGTCTTTCACGCTAAATTAATGGATCATATTTTATTCTAAGCCAGGAGCTACTAACAGTCTTCACAGACTATGCAACACTATTAACTGAGATAATTCTTTGAAATTCCAGGCATGACTTCTTAAAAGAATGCATGGCTTGCAATCCATGAAACTTAAAAACAAAACTTTTTAAGCTTAAAACCTACTAATAATAAATTGTATTTAAATTTAAGGTGCCACTAAAACTATGTCTTTCATGCTAAATTCATGGATCATATTTTATTCTAAGCCAGGAGCTACTAACAGTCTTCACAGACTATGCAACACTGTTAACTGAGATAATTCTTTGAAATTCCAGGCATGACTTCTTAAAAGAATGCATGGCTTGCAAACTTAACTTGAGAATGATTCTCCTAGTTTCAAGGGCTAAGAGATTTATTAGTAGACAAAGTTTGTTTACTCAGAAGAAAACGTAGGGGAAAAATTTGAAGCGGTGCTGAATTAAAGGAGGAGAAAATACCCATCACCCCTTCCCCCTTCCCAAATCAAGGAAGCAAATTGAAAATGATGTATGAAATGACAAATCCCTGCCCAATGCACAGGAAGAACATAAATAATGCTCTGTAATCACTGCAGTGATGTGCTATTTGCTAAAATTGTCTGCTCAGGTGAATCCAGAAAAACCTTTCCTTATCTATAAATCCAAAAAAGAGATGAGCCAAGGTGAAATAATATTATTTTACTGTATGCCTGTATGCAACAATCTCCTCTTTGTTTTTTCTTTTTTGCCTCCCATAAAGATATATTTGCTATTAGAATACTTAAGTGTTGCTGAGGAGTTCGTGTAATAAAAACATTTTTTTTTAACTTAAACAAGGAATTGTCAAAACATGTACATTAGATGGGGGATACCAGAAAGAGTTTCCATTCTAGAGTCAACCAGGCCTTAGTTTGAACTCTGGTTTTGTTTGAATTCTGGATTTGACCCAGATAAATGACTTTGCACATTTTAAAAATTTCAGCTGAGCTTTAGTCTTTTCCATTGTACTATGAAGATGATATGCACCCCACAATTGTGACAACTAAGTAAAATAACATAAGGCATGAAGCCCCTTGCATTATCTGACACAGCCCTTGTAAAATTTGGGTCTATTTTTTCCTCCCTTTTCATGCTAGAAGTCCCTATTATGGCATGAAAAAAAAAATGCTGCATTTTAAACTTGAAGTCTTGAATTTTGATTTTTTTTACTTTTTAATTTATTAGACAGTTCATTTGACCTTTCTGAATAGATATTAGATTTTGTGTGTGTGTGTGTGTGACCGGTAAGGGGATTGTAACCCATGGCTTGGTGTCTCCCGCACCACACTCAGCCAGTGAGTGTACTGGCCATCCCTATATAGGGTCCGAACCTGCAGCCTCGGTGCTCCCAGCATGGCACTCTCCCGAGTGAGCCATGGGGTCGGCCCAATATTAGATATTTTTTAACAAAAATAGGTATTAGTTTCCTGCTATGAAAAAAACATATGGAAATGTATGATTTTAGCTAAAATTATTAAGTGTAATGTGTTATTATTACAAATTAATATATCTTAATAAAAAGTATACATGCATTAGAATCAGGTTACTATGAATCTATTCTTCAGGGAGGTGATGAACTATATTGTTGTCTTATTCTAGAATTATAATGGGAGAATTTTCTTTGATCAATTTCTTTAAGGTGGCACTCTCCCGAGTGAGCCACGGGGTCAGCCCGATATTAGATATTTTTTAACAAAAATAGGTATTAGTTTCCTGTTATGAGAAAAACATATGGAAATGTATGATTTTAGCTAAAATTATTAAGTGTAATGTGTTATTATTACAAATTAATATATCTTAATAAAAAGTATACATGCATTAGAATCAGGTTACTATGAATCTATTCTTCAGGAAGGTGATGAACTATATTGTTGTCTTATTCTAGAATTATAATGGGAGAATTTTCTTTGATCAATTTCTTTAAGGGCATGTTTATTAGAAGTGTCTCATAATAAATTACAAGATGTCCTCAGAATGCAGAGGTGAAGGACGGGCACATTGGAACTGGACTCCAGTGTATTAGTCCATTTCTGTTGCTTATAACAAAATACATGGAACTGGGTAATTTATAAGAAAATGAAATTTATTGCTTACAGTTTCTGAGGCTGGGAAGTCCGAAGTCCATCTGGTGGTGGTGACAGTGACCCAGGGGTCTCACATTGGCAAGATGGTGGAAGCAAAGAGACAGAGACTCTCCTCTCCTTTTAAAGCTCTCAGAACCAGACCCTGACCACCATTATTAATCCATTCACTAAGGCACACGGTCCTACAATCTAATCACCTCTTCACGGCTCCACCTTTCAGTTTCCATGACAGGATTTCCCATCTTCTTAACAGTCACAGTGGGGG